TACTGAATACTGATATTGAATACTGATATTGAATACTGATACTGAATACTGATACTGAATACTGATATTGAATACTGATACTGAATACTGATACTGAATACTGATACTGAATACTTATATTGAATACTGATACTGAATACTGATACTGAATACTGATATTGAATACTGATATTGAATACTGATATTGAATACTGATATTGAATACTGATACTGAATACTGATATTGAATAATGATACTGAATACTGATACTGAATACTGATATTGAATACTGATACTGAATACTGATACTGAATACTGATACTGAATACTGATATTGAATAATGATACTGAATACTGATACTGAATACTGATACTGAATACTGATACTGAATACTGATATTGAATACTGATATTGAATACTGATATTGAATACTGATACTGAATACTGATACTGAATACTGATATTGAATACTTATATTGAATACTGATATTGAATACTGATACTGAATACTGATATTGAATACTTATATTGAATACTGATATTGAATACTGATATTGAATAATGATACTGAATACTGATATTGAATACTGATACTGAATACTGATACTGAATACTGATACTGAATACTGATACTGAATACTGATACTGAATACTGATACTGAATACTGATATTGAATACTGATACTGAATACTGATACTGAATACTGATACTGAATACTGATATTGAATACTGATACTGAATACTGATATTGAATACTGATACTGAATACTGATATTGAATACTGATACTGAATACTGATACTGAATACTGATACTGAATACTGATACTGAATACTGATATTGAATAATGATACTGAATACTTATATTGAATACTGATACTGAATACTGATACTGAATACTGATATTGAATACTTATATTGAATACTGATACTGAATACTGATACTGAATACTGATATTGAATACTGATATTGAATACTGATACTGAATACTGATATTGAATACTTATATTGAATACTGATATTGAATACTGATACTGAATACTGATATTGAATACTTATATTGAATACTGATATTGAATACTGATACTGAATACTGATACTGAATACTGATATTGAATACTTATATTGAATACTGATATTGAATAATGATACTGAATACTGATATTGAATACTGATACTGAATACTGATACTGAATACTGATACTGAATACTGATACTGAATACTGATACTGAATACTGATACTGAATACTGATACTGAATACTGATACTGAATACTTATATTGAATACTGATACTGAATACTGATACTGAATACTGATACTGAATACTTATATTGAATACTGATACTGAATACTGATACTGAATACTGATATATTGAATACTGATACTGAATAATGATACTGAATACTGATACTGAATACTGATATTGAATACTGATATTGAATACTGATATTGAATACTGATATTGAATAATGATACTGAATACTGATATTGAATACTGATATTGAATACTGATATTGAATACTGATATTGAATACTGATATTGAATACTGATATTGAATACTGATATTGAATACTGATATTGAATACTGATACTGAATACTGATATACTGAATACTGATACTGAATACTGATATTGAATAATGATACTGAATACTGATATTGAATACTGATACTGAATACTGATATTGAATCAGTGAGCAAGTGAATCAAAATCAGTCTGATTCACAAATGAATCATTCAGTTATATATATGAAGCGATTCATTTGAAAGAATCATCTCGTTCACAAAGTTAAACATCTCTGAGGGCGTGGCGATTTCTTCCGATCGAATTCACGAGAAACAATGTGTTTTTAAGGAATGTAAACCAGTCAGATATGATGCTTTGTAAGAGAGTGAGTGAGTGAGTGAGTGAGTGAGTGAGTGAGTGAGTGTGAGTGTGTGAGTGAGTGAGTGAGTGAGTGAGTGAGTGAGTGAGTGAGTGAGTGAGTGAGTGAGTGAGTGAGTGAGTGAGTGAGTGAGTGAGTGAGTGAGTGAGTGAGTGAGTGAGTGAGTGAGTGTTACGTTTGCAGACGGGTCTGTGGTCGCTCCAGGCCGCGAACACCTCCGCCACTCTCTGACACGTGATGATCTTAGATCCCTGGAGCACGTGATCCTCGTCACAGATGAAGTGAACCATCGCACCGATGCTGAATACACACACACACACACACACACACACACGAGACAGAGAATCAATGAAGGATCTGAAAACCCCAGATTGATCAGGCCTCGTGTCAGAGCAAATGCCAGGGAGGAATAATCAGGGATTTCACTGATACTCAAATAAGCATAAGCACACACATCCTTCATGCTGGGAAATGTCCACATTATTTATTTTTACGTGGTTAATTTTGTCCCGACTTTATGATTTAATAGCTTTAATTAATTCCTTTTTGATTTTTTTTATGAGTGGTCGTTTCAACTGAATGTGACAGAGGTAAAGTAGTGCTTTACAATAAGGCTACTAATCATACAGTGAAATATAAAAATAAAGAGAATATTCATATTCATATTTAAGCATATAAAATTAAAAATTGTATATTAAATGTGTACATTTTTGCTAAATTAATAATTACAAGAAAATTAGAGAGAAAATATGACATTAAACATGTTTGCAAAAAATATATATTAAATTAATATAAATTGTTATTAAATCTATAATTAACAAAAAATGTTAATATTATATTAGATATGTTACATATACATATTTTTTTATTTAGCTAAATTACTAAATTGACATTTAAATTGACTATTAATATCTAAAAAAAAAAGTGTAAATGTTTTTGCTAAATAAACATTGAATTAATATTTAAATTGACAATTTGCTAAATTAATATTAAGCACAAATATTCATATTTAAGCAAATAAAACAACCCGATCTCACGGCAATTCGTACAAATTCTACGAGGCTATAATTCGTATGAATTTACATGACATCACTTATACAAATTCATACGATTTTTTGCTAAATACCCCAAAAATATAAATATAAAATTAAATCTATTTAAAATTTTGCTAAATTAATAAATTGATATTTAATAAATAAATATTTTGCAAAAATTATTGATATTTAAAAAAGAAAAGGAAGAAAATATAACATTAAATTTGCATTATTATTAAAATTGATGTATTTTTGGTAAATTAATATTAAACATAAATATTAATATTTAAGCAAATAAAATAGAATATATTACATCATGTAATCTTAAATTAAATTAAATGCATCACAAATTCGCGATCACTTACTGTAGATCAGCAAGATTATTTGCTGCTTCAAATTATGACCTAATGAGAACATATTTCTGTCAGATCACATAACCTCAATGATAATTGTTGTTTGAATAATTTGATGCATAAGTGTTACCGTTTACTTTTCAGTTTCGGCTTGTAAATGAGCAAATAATATCTCATAGCCTTCCTGTTACAGACTCTCAAGCATTTCACCGCGACTGAGGCGTAGCTAGGCTATCAAAACAGTTAAATATCATGTTCAATTATGCATGACCTAATGAATATGCATGAGCTAAACTTTCACAATTGCATACTTTTAGAAACCAAACTGCACCCGTTCTGACAGCGCACAACGAGAAGGTGTACCTGTAATCTGTGCCGAGGCGCTTTCCGTTCTCCGGTTCCCCGGGGTCTGGGCAGAAATTGGAAACCTGCTTGACCATTCCTTCATTCACTGTGGGAGAAATAGTGCGTATGGAAATATCAGCCATCATAACCTGTGATTGTGCTCTCCATAACCTCAGATATCGAGTTCTCATCCTCACTCAACAGAGATGTTGGCTCCTTCTCTCAAATGAAAGGTTAAGATACACTCCTGGACGTCCCAGTTATGGCTATTGACCAAAATCACACGTCTAAATACAGACAACTCTTATGATTTATGAATATGATTTATACTCTACATGTGACCAAAGTCAATATCTCCTCCATGAATGGGCGCATGATAATTACCGCTGTGCAGGACCTATCATGCTTTTCTCATGTTCATCTTTCTTTAGTGTGTAATGTTGATGTTTGAGAATGAAAAAGTTATTCTCTATATCAGAGTCAGTGTTTCTGAACTCCCTGAAGAGTTCATGGCTTAATTTTAGTAGCCTCGAGTAGGGCTGGGCGATATGTAAAAAATATTTTATCGATAATCGCCTTAAAAAATATCGCGATATCCGATTATATCGTCTACCCAAGCCCCGCCCCCTATGCGCCCCGCTGGAGACAACACATATGGAATACACGTTAACACAAGTCATGTTGAGTTTGGCTGCACTTTATCTAATGATAGCCTGCGATTTAGTTGGTTTAATTTAATGATTGAAACGTTAAAGGTTTTACTTTGGTTAGTTTGAGCTTAAACGAGCATAAAACATTAGCTTTGCTTGTTATGTTAGTGTTGCTAATAATTTCCTCACTGTTCTTATTGCATCTGTGTTTGAAACGAATTTCGTTTCGCGAGGAGAAATGTTAAATAGGCCTACAACTGAACAGAACAGAACACAATTTGGTGATTGTAAGAATGCTGAATGCATGTTTATGTTATAGCTATACGGTCATCTCAGAATAAACCCGACGGGTGATCAGGATCAGGTCTTCATCAGCCTGAAGGGGGTTATGTGTCTTGTCTTGTCTATTTGTTTTTCATAAGGTCCGATTTTCTCCCTTTTTTGGGCGGTAGCCTATCGCCTGATTTAATAATAAGTTTTAATAATAATAATGTGTAGCGCTGTTTTTAAACTTGTATTTTCAAACTATAATATATTTGTTATTTGTCTAAAATTAGGAATTAAAAACGAATTGTCGTTCTGAATGAGCAAAAACGTTTTTTTCCCCTCCTTTTTGGTTTTAGTTCCAAGTTCACCTTAAGCCGTTTAAGAAATAAAAATGACTGCTTTATTTATTTAGAAACAGAAGTCATTAAAAATTATATTTGGGGATTTTTTTTGTTTGTTTTGTTTATTTATTCATTTATTTAATCTAAAGCAAAGTAGGCCTAACGCTCCCAATATAGCTATACGGAGCTGCCAACATTGCTCCGAACGCGTGCATGAGATAGCCTATTCAAACGCAATTTCTTCATCCGTTTGCAATATAACGACATTTTTATTTTTATTTTAATTACAATGGTCCCGTTTGTGCTTTTTGATTAGGCCTATTTATTATGTGCAACATTTAAATTAATATTCAGAAACGGGTAAAGTTAGCCTACTTCTACCATTTGTTTTTCTGATGAACTTTTATCAGCCTCCAAACCAAAATAAAATAGGCCTAGGCTACTTGATTATATGAAGAAAAATGTTTAACAAAATTACGAAAGTAAGGACAAATGATGTTTGACAACGCATCTCAAGGTCGCACAGACTCATGTTGCAGTTGGAGCAGTCAGCGCCGAACAACAGGCAAATAAAATATTAAGCTAATTAAAGTTACAAAAGTTCAGTGAGTGATTTTCTTTTTCTTTTGTTCTTTGATCAACATTAATGGTGGCAGCGAGTATAGGCTGTCAGTGGACTGATTCAATGGACATATACTGTTTTACTTTCTCAACCGTTAAGACAAAACCGGCTGTGTTTAGGCTACAGGGATATTTGAACTTGAAAAGATGTGTAGCCTACCTACTGAAGTCTTTCCACGGTTGAAACAATAATTCTTCTGATGTTTATTCATGTTTATTTGATGCTACACTGTAAATGATTTCTGTTGTTTTCACAGGATTATACTGTTTTTCTCAACAGTTTCTTACTGTATAACCTATGTACAGTAAGTTACAGTAGATTTAGATGTTGTCACAGTATTATGTTGTATTTTCAACAGTTATGTTCTGTGCACACAGTTGACAGTATGTTACTGTTGATTTTCAATGCATTCTGGGAAATTATCAGTTACTGTAAATCTAAATACAGCAGTGCAAATTGACCGCGAAAAAAAACACACACAATTCCGCAGGAAAAATGGGTATAACAACGTTATTTTTAGGCTACATAAAACATTTTCAGGATGGGGTGACCATGACAGTATTAATTTCTGTCAGTGGGGGGTGCATGAGGGCGCATTTGAGTTTGAACGAGTTTTTCTTCTGTGACTGTCATGTCAGTGCATCGATCGTGTCTGTTTCTGCCGACCTGGGGAACTTCGTCATCTGGTAAGTAATAAATCTTATTATTTGTATGCATACATGGATTCTAGCTAATTGTTAACTTTACAGTTATTAGCTGACCACGTATACGGTCAGAATGATCTAAACATTTTGTTATTTACCATTTTAAGTCGGTGGAAGCGCCTGCGGGTAACGTAGCCTACATTTTCATAGGGTTGGGAATTGAAAATCGAGAAATGTATCCTGAAATCGGATACCCAAGGTTAGGATTCGGATTATTGTTATAAAAATTAACATTACGATTCCTCTTATCGATTTATTCGCGCTTATTTTCGTGTAAATCACTATTTACTCGTCTGTGAGGACCTGACGATCAGCCAGTAAACCTTGTGCAGTTGCGCGCTCATATTTACCTCAGTCTATCTGATGGAAGCGCTCAAAAGTGTGCATTTTTGTCCAAAGACAAAGCTAGGTATGTCATTTACAGTATTGTCAGCTATAATATCTTAATTGTTGTTTTAACTATGTGCAAACTGACTACTCATTTGAAGGGAAAAAAACGACGCCTTGAGAGTCAAGCTTGATTTCACTTCAAAATGAAAATTCTGTCATCATCACCCTCAAGTTTGGGTATGCCTCCTGATATTGTGATCATGGTATAAATAATAGGGGGGTTGTAATGCATAGATTTAAATATTGGGGGGGTTATATCCCCCCCATCCCCCCCCCACAAATTACGCCCCTGCAAACCTGTATACATTTCTTTCTTCTGCTGAACACAAAAGGGAGATATTTTCATAACCAAACAGTTAACTGGATCCATTGACTTCCATAGTAGGATAAAGAAAATACTAAGTCAATGGGCCCAGTTAACTGTTTGGTTACTGACATTCTTATATCTTCCTTTGTGTTCAGCAGAAGAAAGAAATGTATACAGGTTTGAAACAACTGGAGGGTGAGTATATGATGACAGAATTGTGAACTATCCATTTAAACTGCGCGATGAAGCCTATTAGAATGCAGTTAGAATGACTATAATTAAAGCAATGGTCCGTAAGAGTTGTTGTTTTTTATTCAGTTGGAAAATATTTATTTATTTATTTACAGGTTTCAGGATAAATCCTGAAAATTCAAAATGCACATCACAGTTCCAGGGGAGCAGAAAGAGTGGGAAGGTTGTTCGGAGGAAGAACATGTCTTTGAATTCACACATCTTTCATCAGGGACTTTGCAGAATATGACTGGCAAAATCATTAAGGTAAGATATATTAGGGATGTGCAGCGGAGCCCATATCGGTAGAAATTATTTGTGTCTGAATCTGTATTTTGAAAAATCCCAAAAGGGCGTAAATGACTTAAACCATACATTTTCTATTCGATTCAGATTCTTGGGGTCACAATTTTATTCAAAAATCAATTCTCTTTTGAATCAAATTAAAATTTGATATATGCATAGATTTACATTTGATCATAGATTTTAAATATATTCTATGCATATATCAAATTTAAATTTGATTCAAAATCGAACAGCATAGAAATAAACAGCAGCTACTATTCCCAATCGAGTGGGAGTTATTTAGTTTAAATTATACACCTCATATCTGCGTTAATTTAATCTAGCCCGCTGCCGCTCAGCGTTCATACACGCATCTTTTTCATCATTCAAATTAGTGAGCATCAAGTCAACAGACATATCTATGAAAGGAACTGACTATCATCAGGATCTGGGTTGCGTTTACCAAAAGCATCGTAAGCCTAAATTGATTGTAGACCATTGGTGGTAAATGTTCTATAATTAATTTAAGGTTACAATGCTTTGGGGAAACGCAGCCCTCATCAGTGGCCGATTGTTTGGAGTCAGATATAGAATAAGGGCCATTGCATTCTCAATATTTATTACTTTAGCCTCTGATACAGGACATGTTCATGCTCTTTTATAGGCGGTATTTGTTCGTTACCACAGAAAACCGTTTGCGTGTCCATGTTGAACGTGTTTCTTGTATGTAAAAACTAAAGTAGCCTACCTGTACATGGAAAGATCGCAAGAAAAGCCTGAAGTGTGCTCGACTAACTAAACATTATTTAAGACTATTTTCTATTTGTTAAGATATTGATATGAACTTCTGTAGTCTGTAGTATAAGCTTCATTCATAATGCTTCCTCTGTTTCAAGCTTGTGCACTCTCTAAACTGTCCTTCTTTGAAACAACATCATCACATTATTAAACATTTAGATCGATTTTTGAGTTGTGTGAATCGGTTTGAATCCGCAGAAGATGGAATCGTAATTCATATGTGAATCGATTTTTCCCCCACCCCTAATATAGTCGATATATGTATATCCATGTATGCCACACAACATGCAAGCAGTATATCCACCTTATTTTTCAACTTCAAAAGTGAAGTAAGCTATTTTCTGTGAATGTGCGAGACTTCATTAGCCGCTATAAGGAAATAAGAGATGAATAACAAATGCTGTAAATGATAAAAATATTTGTGCCTCAAACTAGTGTTTACAATTATGACAAATTCAATACATTAAAATAATAGGGTAAGGAATACCAGTTTGCAATATCAAGAAGCATA